CAAAGATTGTTTGAACACCTCACATATGGTTAACATTTGTAACTAAATGTATCTTGTTGTGAATACTACATCAGCATTTTATATGCCTTTTTTCTGACTAGACTTCGGCATGACCAGAGACATTTATGAGACAGACTACTATCGCAAAGGTGGCAAAGGTTTGCTCCCTGTCCGCTGGATGTCCCCAGAGTCCCTGAAGGATGGAGTGTTTACCACATACTCCGATGTCTGGTAAGAGCCTGTGTGTTTATTTGAATAAACTGTCTTGACTCTTTAATAAATAGAGTCATTCATTATGAGCTGTGTGTGTGTTCCAGGTCATTTGGAGTTGTCTTGTGGGAGATTGCTACTTTAGCCGAACAGCCTTACCAAGGTCTGTCCAATGAGCAGGTCCTACGCTTTGTCATGGAGGGAGGGCTGCTGGAGAAACCACAGAACTGCCCTGACATGCTGTAAGAATGGAAGTTATTTATTCAAACAAATATAAGGTAGTATGTTGATTTTCTGAATGAAATAAACATGTACAATTGCGTCTGTGAAAATGAAACATTTGAAGTTCTTAATGCATAATTTGTTTGTCACTAATTAATACTTCAAATGAATGTCTAGTTTTGATACTAGTCTTAAATATCAATACTGAAAAGAATCCCCTACATGGTAAAATGGTAAATGGTCACGTTTTTCTATAGCACTTTTCCACCTTCAAGGCATTCAAAGCGCTTTACAACAAAGAACCCTTCACCCATTCACACACACATTCACACACCAGTGTACGCAGACACTGTAGGCAAGGTCGGTTAAGTGTCTTGCCCAAGGACACAACGACAGCATTCATCTGTGGGAGCTGGAATCACACCAGCCAACCGGTGGGTCAGTGGATCTGACTGCTCAACCTGTGATGTGTTTTTTTTTTTTTATGTCGAGATCTGGAATCGAACCGCCAACCTTCAGATCAGTGGGCTGAACTGAACTACTGCCGCTCGTACATAGGCACAAAATTAGACATTTTCTGAATAGTTTATGAAACCACTATAACATCACATGGTAATATTAAAGAAACTACTAGTATCCTGAAGCCTGAATTACATTTTGTTGCCTAAAAAGTGTGAGATTCAAATTTTGGTGTTGTGACAACGCAACATTCATTATGCTTAATTTGTTTGTGTAGGTTTGAGCTGATGCGGATGTGTTGGCAGTACAACCCCAAGATGCGCCCGTCATTTGTGGAAATCATCAACAGTGTAAAAGACGAGCTTGAACCTTCGTTCAAGGAGGCCAGCTTCTTCTACAGCGCGGACAACAAACCTGTAGACACCCCACAGCACCATCTGGAAAACTTGGATGATATGGACCACATAGACGAGGTACCTTTGGACCCTACGTCTTCAACAAAGTCCCAGCAGACTCCAACCTGCCCACAGACTCCTCCTTCCCCCAGCACACAGGCCCCACCAGGCCCATCATTAACTAATAGCCCCCCCTCATCCCCCTGTACATCCACTTCTACCACGGACAAGCAGAACCCCAGTCAGCAGGCAGCCAATGGACTGTCAGGGGCAAGCACGGGACTCGGCGCGGGCGTGGGGGTTCAGCCGATGAGACCATCCCTAGATGAACTCCCACCTTATGCTCACATGAATGGAGGGCGCAAAAATGAACGTGCCATGCCCCTCCCCCAGTCCTCTGCCTGCTGATTGGACCACCTCAGCACCCACAGCAAACCTGCCATGGTCTGTTGTGCAGAACGTTATGTCTCACAGGAGTGGAACAATGTCTGAGTACAAGGACTCAAGCGCCGACCTATGCTACAGCGATAAACATCAAATTAGGCCATGCTCTACTGAACATTCACAAACTTGTTCGAAATCCTTTGGTTTCTACCAGCTGGTTGTTAAATATGACTCTCTTGCTTTTCTGTAAAAATATATATAATAATAATTTAAAAAAGCAAGAAAATAATTTAGGGAAAGATGGCTGAACATATTTTGTAAGTTGATGGTTGTAACTTTTATATGTATTTTCAATGAGGAAAATGTGTAAGCCTTTGTCAGTGACTGGTGATTGCCTTTAGAGGGGCATTTTGGTGACTTTTTAGCATATCTAATGAAGAAGCACTTAAAAGGTCAGCTTTTTTGTCAGTTCGTACTCTTGTTTCTCTGCCTAAAGCCAGCTCAGCAACTCATGGGCTAGAGTTCATATCTAGGGAGGGACATGTTAAACCTGCCAAATTTTCTGTCAGATGTGTATATTTTTATTTTCTATATTCTTGCTGATTCTTCAACACTCCAGACTGAAAGTTACAAGTACTTAGAGCTGCTAAGATAAACTGTCTTTATTAAAGCGTTTATTGCCCTCTTCAGCTCCAAACCACTGCTTTTTCAACTAGTAAAACGACCTCCTCAATTATTGATATCAATCTTATCACAAAGTGCTGAAGCTTGAGTCTTAACGTCAGTAAAGCGAGAAAAAACACAAAATGTGCATGGACTGCAGAGGGAAGGTCATAAAGTTCAAAACTTGGAAGAATAAACTTAAACTTGTACCAGTTTGCGGCATTTACCTAGGAACAGAAACCTGTAGGCTTCTCTTTCGTCATTAATATTTCCAATTTTAACTAATACCAGTGGTTGTCACTTTTCTACAGTTGAAGACATTCATCATGTACAAAAAGCTGCTATTCCTTATTTTCTGTAGTGGTTTTCATAGAGTTTAACAGAATATGTAAAGAAAAAATCTTTCAGGTTTTGTCTTTCCACTACAGCCCATTTTTCTTTTAATTGTGTGAAGTGTATCTGAGTTGGTTCAGTTTTTGTTTGTAAGGTATAGCAATTTGCCTTTTTGTGTCAAACCTGGAATATCCACCCGTCTGACTGGAAGAGGCTGATGACCTCAGTGTCATCAGTGTCATGTCTTCTCACAGAAAGCCTCTCCCTCTGTCCTCTGCAGCTCTCCCACCAATCAGGACTGGGGGTTCACTTTAATCAACGGAGGTCAGAGGTCAGGCATTGCTGCTGAGTTCCAACTAAATCTCAGGTCAAGAATATGAGACAAATCCTTTTCTAGTTACGTTTTATGTGTTGATGTACCTCTCATTTTCACACAAAGAAAAAATTAGAGCAGTCATATCTTTATAACCACAAGGGGTCACTATAGGCCTAATAAGCGAGTACTAAAGGACATGCAATTTGATACTTTTATACTATTAAGTTATAAATTGCAGCACTTTTTGTTTGCTGCTGTTATTGGGTATTTTTATTTGGTAAAAATATTTAACACAGGCACTTGAATAAACAAAAGAATAAAAAAAAATGTTAGCCCAGTAAAATATGTTCCCTTAAACAATTTTTTGCTACTTTATTGAAAGTAAATGCTACAAAATTTAATTATCAGGGCGCATACATCTCAGTAAGTAACATTTGGAATTGTTTATGTTTGCAAGTCATTGTTGACAACTCCACCATTTTAACATCTTTTTTTTATTTTTTTGGAATTTCAACATATGTTGTGGAGAACCTTTGATTTTCAACCATCCATCTACCTCACTCTCCCCCAGTTTATATGTTTAAAGGGTCATCTCATCTGTTTTCTGGCTGCAATTATACTACAGAACCACCAAATGCTGACATAATGGTCAAATTCAAACCACAAACCATGCCATCCTGAGGCTGAGAAAGACAAAAGGCAAAGTTTGGGTTGAAGTAGTTTGTTGTTATTTTATCTGGTCATGTACTACTTACTTTCTGTATAAAACGCAGGACATTGTGCATATTTTCTAAACCAGCTCCATTGGAACTATGCGTTTTTAACAACTCCTTTCACAGACACTCTTTATTCCCATACATTTCTGTGGCCTTGAAAAATTGTACTTGTTTCTCATCTGTAATGAGCAAAGCCATGTAAAGGTTCAGGTAGAAAAGAGGCTTTCATGAGTAGACAACATCTGGTTCCAGTTGAGCTCTTTGATTTCCAGGGACATGTGGCCTGTAAGCTTACTAATTATGTTGTTCAAACACTGCAAAAACATTTCTGGTAACCCAGGAACTGGTTTATGATGTGTTGTATTTTACACATATTTATTGCTACTTCATTTTGTTAGTTAATGGCAGTTCAGTGCTAGTGCCTATACCTGTTGCCATAGCTTTCCAAAGACAAGGCATTCCAAACTCTGCTATTTTATGAGTCTCCTTCCTCCCCTATGAAGGCAGGTTATAGCTTCCTGTAAAGGACTGTTAGTGATTTAGCCATGGCCTCCTGCAGATACACTGATAGGCTGTGCTCTGGATGGAGTAAAGAGTGTTTGTGGTCTGATTTTTGCCTCACATCATACCACTGGAATGCCATACTAAGTGGACAGCTATTCGAACAAACTGTTTCTATTATTTGTTACATTGCAAATTTGTTACCAAGGTTTGATGTATGTAAATTATTCATAGCCTTCTGACACTTGGCATTTTTTAAATTAACTGTTGGACTGATTTTTTTTTCTTCTCTTTTGTATATGCAGTTGTAAATTTTCCTTATTATGAAAATCTTATAAATACTGGGGGGAATATTGGCTGAGAGGAAAGAGAATGTTTTCTTGTTCTTTTTTCTACACAGAATTACAATGAATAAAAAAATATATGCAAGCTGTTGTGCATTATTGAATTGCGTTTTAGAATTTTGCTAAGCAAAGAAAGGCTATTTAATGAGCAGAAGGTAAACCCTGCAGTTACAGGTGCTGCAGATCGTGATCTATGTCCAGGTTGTTTCTCACTGCTCCTGTCAGGTTGTCTAGCTGAACTGTAAAAGGTGGGTCAAATGTATATCCATTAATATTTATAATTAATAATTTAATATTATGTAGTTCTTACCTTGAAATATGTTTTGTTTGATTTTAAGTTATTACAGTGTTGAAAAGACTGATAGTCTTTCTTGGTATCACATACCGACTGCCGACGCGTAGTGGCAGTATTGAGGCGAGCTGCGCATGCGTATTTTGTCCAATGCCCTTTCACCAGGACGTAATCATGACGTCAAGCGTTGTTTACGGTGTGACTGCTGCTACTACAGTTTTGCCTTTCTTGTATTTTATGAACTCCGCTTTTATTGGGAACTCGAAACAGACATGTTGAAAATTATTTGAAAAGAACTTTAAGGTACTAAATGTAAATTTTCGAGCTAGTCTACAAGTCTACTACAATTTAATTCATTCGTTGTTTGTCTGAGAGTAGGATCGTACCTAGGGTGTTTTAGCGTTTGATTGAATTAATACTATGCTAATCATTCTACTAACAGCTGTGATGCCCTGGTAAAAGGACCAGACCTTCTTTTCTTCAAGTGGAGGATAATTTTAGAAGAAGATGGCAACTGAACTCCATGAAACCATATGCATGGCAAAGCAAGAAAGACACAAAAACCTTTTTTTAAACTATAAGAACTTGAACATTTTTCCAGTTGAATTGCTTAAAGATGAAGGCCTTCAATTTCTTGAGAGACTATATATGAAGAGGAATTCACTTACTACACTGGTAAGTAAGCATCTTTCATTCAATACTGCATCAGTGCAACCTGTAGCCATTGTGTATTATTCTGTTTTTAGCCTGATAATCTTGCACAGAAGCTTCCAAATCTAATCGAACTGTAAGTGGAAGTACTGTAATATTGTACAGGTGTCATTACATTGGATCTCTAATATGCACAATTCTATGCCTTTGTAAGGTATCTACACTCAAATAATATAGTTATCATCCCAGAAGGTAAGTGGATATGTTCATGCATTTAAAAAGACATTACCAGCAACTGTCACCCTTGTTTATATAAACTTGTTGAGAATAATGAAATATGTTGTCTGTTCTCAAGCAATTGGAAACTTGGCAAGACTGCAGTCACTGGATTTGAGCAACAATGCTCTTCAGATGCTTTGTCCAGAAATTGGCCGATTGAGATCTTTAAGGCATCTGCGACTGTCCAATAACCAGCTAAAATGCCTTCCTTCAGGTATCACCTGGATTATTATTACATGTGTATATGTAACCTTTCAGCAAAATTTTGCACTAATCAATGGGCAATGTCTTTGTGCATTAGTAACATTTACTCTACATCTTATATTTTTTAGAGATAGGTGACCTACAGGAACTTGAGACTCTGGATGTGTCCATGAACCAGCTAATCTCCTTGCCTGACAAACTGCACCATTGTCTATCACTTCAGAATCTCACAGCAGACCACAACCACCTAAGACATGTTCCCCGGCAGCTCTGCTGGCTACATCGCCTCAACCAGCTTTCAATGGCTGCTAACAGACTCAACTTTCTTCCACTTGGTTTGTAATGTGTATTCTTCCTAATTATGCTGCTAGGCATAACACTTAAAATACTTGTGTCACAAAGGGAATTCTTCATAAAATCCTACAATATTATTGTGTTACCAAAGAGAAGGAGAAATGCTGAAAGATTAATACATGTTTATTTCAGATTTAGGCCGGTCCCGGGAACTGCAGTTTGTGTTTGTTGACCACAATTCAGATCTGAAAGGTCTTCCCTCCTACCTTTACAACAAGGTTATTGGCTGCAGCGGGTAATAAACTATAGTAGTTTGCATTAAAAACATGCATTCAATAGTTCAGTTTATAAACTCACTGAGTGAATGTGTGTTTTAGGTGCGGAGTTTCTACTCAAGTACAGGAAGAAGGTACAAATGACACACTGGGAGCACTACCCGCTGAAGTAAAGGTTGTAGGCTCAAGGTCAGGTACTGTGGTTCCCTTGGAGGAGCTTGCCTTACGGACCTTGAACCGTGTCTACCACCACAGGTTACCAGGTGAGCAAAGTCTGTGCTGCATTGATTTTATATTTGTTTCCGGTCTGATGTTATCCCCAATCATTATTTGTAGATCTGCAACTTCTGCCTAACATGACATTGCCTAAGAGTCTCCTGGACCTGCTGCAGTTTCCTCTGGGCCACTGTCACCGCTGTAGCCAAGCCATGTTTACCATCATTTACCCCAAACTGTTCCCCCTCAGAGATACAGCACTGGCAGGAGTGCATCGCAGGTTTGAAGACACTTATTTATAAATTATAAACCAGACATATACAGAATTTTGTTGCTTATTTAGCATGTTTATCTGATACACTGTCAGACCTAGGCTTGGTTTAAAGGTGCACTATGTAATTTTTATAGTGGGCAATATAGTGGGGAGTCCATTACCTTCTATGTCCAAAGGTCTGATATGCAACTTGAACTAATGGCTGACACTTTGTTGTCTCTATAGAAATATTTTTATTTTATTTGACCTTTATTTAACCAGGAGGTCCAACTGAGATTCAGAATCTCTTTTTCAAGAGAGAAGTAGTTAAGTTTAATGCCACACAGGCATTGGAACATAGGCAATTCCGAGGAGGTGGCAGACTATCCACGAGAAAATTAACATAGCGTGCCTTTAAGCTGCATCCTAAACGTGTTGTGAAACAGCAAAAATTCTAACTTTGTTATGTTCTTTATTTTTATTCTTATTTTTTTAGGACAACAGTGAGCTTTGTAGCCTATTGCTGTTCTAGTCAATGCCTTCGGACCTTTGACCTTCAGGGATGACCTAGTTTACTTTCAAGAGAAATTCTGCTCTGAAAAATTACTTCTACTGGAACATGGCAAATGAAGATATTCAACCTATGTGACAGTTTGCAAGAGCTGACACTAACATTTCCAAAAAACATAACCACAGTTCATAAGTTAACCAGAAAACTATGCTACTATTATTTAATTGGATCAGTGCTTTTCAACATACTTGCATAATGCATAATTTGACACTTTTCTTCACATAGTGAATCTTTCACAAGCATGTAATAACAGCAAATGTATTGATATTGAGGGGTACAATTTGTTGCTCAGATATGACACTTCAAAACAATAATTGACCAATGTGTTTAAAACTGACAGCATTTTTATTTGCACTGAATCAGTATGGATATTTGCTACTTTAGTGACAGGAATGCTTTTTAATTATTGAGAAAAGAAAAAAATACATTGGCAGTGAAGTCAGTGATGACAGAAGCCTGACTGTTTGTTTTATAACAGAAGTCTGTTAGCATTTTTACTGTTGTAAATTATCATATGTGTTGGTTAACTGAGGTAAATATTTACCAATGTTCCACTGTGTTTGTTATTTTTCTATTCTAAGTTAAAGGTGCTCTATGGACACTAGTGGTTTGCCTGAAATCTGCCATAGTATGGTATTAATAAGATATTTATCTAGCATTTATTTCACTATGGATGTTTTTAGTGCCCAAAAATACCTTTAACAAGTCTTTGCTTACTGTGGGCAGAGTGTCTCTCCCCAAATCTGACCTTTAACTTGTCTTCATGGTGCCACGTTTGTTTCTCGATGGGGCGAAGTTTAATGCCGTATTGTATAGTATTTTAATCTTGGCAAAGCAATAACCAAATAGCCTGAATTTGCAGACCAAGGTCTCAATGCATCCTTTGTCAGACTTTTAAATGTAGAAAGTGATTACTAATTTCTTTGTGCTCCATGTATTATATCTGCCACTTGATGTTTTCAGCTTTCTTAGAGGGTGATCTCTAGAGTGACAATGCACACAGTTAGAGAGCAGAGAAATCACTTGGAGAATTGTTGGATATAAAAAGGTTGAATTATAAATCTTCTCCATTACTAGAATCGATGTTTCAACCATTACCGTGTTCTTGTCTCACTGATGATTCAACCTTCTGTTGGCCCAGTGGGACTATCGTATCTCCACTGAGTACACACACAAGGTGCATGTTCTGCATGCGCTCATGGAAACAAAGGCAAAGCGTTCACACATGAATAAAGGTCAGATAAAAAAGGAGAGGCCAGACCCAAAACAGAAATTAATCTTCTATCCTGTTCATGCAACTCCATTTTGTTCACATGGATCATGCTTTGGTGTATATGATTGATGCCTACAATTTCTGTCTTGCATAGTAAGTAGTTCCAATAGTGAACTGAATAACTCTTAAAGACTGAATACATGCAATGTTTATTTTTTGGTTTTGTTTTGCAGTTGCGTTTGTGTTAAGCATAAATTTACACACAATAATTAGATTCTGCTCAGCAAGGAACTGCTAATGCTAATGAGTTTGAACAGATAATTATCACCAAAAAGTTCCGACACTATTTGACCAAGCGTTTCTTTTCAAATCCTCAAACGCTGACACATTTAAAATTACAGGCATAACTGGGACATGTCTTTAGGCTATTTGAATTGCCGATGAAGTGTATTACTGTTTCATTTATAATAAATAAAATAAGGAACTAAGTGGGAGTGGAAAGCAGGTGCATGGGATGGGTTTCTGAAGAGCTCTCCGTGTAATCCTCCGGGACGTCAGAGGGCGCGGCCATTTTATGTTTACAAGGGACTTTAGTGAGGCGGAAGTTGTGAGATCAGAATGTCAAATTAAAAGGTGAGACATAGGAGCAAAGAGCTCGGGCATTAATTGTTTTACGATATGCATTTAGGCATGATTATTTGCAGTCATTTCTGCCAGAATGTTAAAGTTTAAAAGTTTAAACTGCACGAGAAACTCAATCTTTTATGACTCATCTTTGTTTTAGTTTTGTAACATGAGAGCTTAAAAAGGAAAGTTCTCCCTTATTTTTGTACAGGAAATGTGGAGCGCGTACGCCACTGTTAGTTTTACGCCTGAAGGGGGACAGGGCGGAGTGTTTTCACCGCGATCAGTGCTGCTGAAGGGAGCCAGGGACAGACTGGTTCTTCACTCACCCCTTTAACACGAGAAAAATCCTCTAAAAGAAGAAACAAGTTTACAACGAAAGAGCAGTTCCTGGTGAGTCTTATTCAAACCATCATTTATACTACTACTTAAATTACTAACTTCAAATTATAACAACCATACAGTTTTATCTGAAATACGTACTTAACGGACTACTTAATAAGTTCAACACAGTTCATGTAGGTTAAACAAGTTTTTACCAACTTGTTTTCTTTTGTAAGGGGAAGTTTATTCTTAAGTTGATTTAGAAAGAACTGATACGAAGTCGTGATCAGATCAGCACCGCGGACAGCTCCGGAGCGCTTTGGGCTTCTTAAGCGAGTCTGTAGGAAACCAGAGACAGAAAAACAGACAGGCAAATATTTACATTTTCATTTATAACACATGTTATATTACAGTGGAAAAATATTTATGAAGTAGCTAACTGTAGTGTTCTGTGCAGTTTGCTGCCTGTATTTCTCTTACTGGATGCTCAGCACAGACTTTGGCTGTTATTACAAATGTTTGACTTTGTGGTTGAGGTTTTGAATCACAGGCAATCAGTTGTAGTGTTTGTCAAAGTACTAAAAGCTTATTGTCCCTCTGCATACAGGAAGGAGGTACAGCAATATGACATCTTTATATATAGATGCTATTTTCAGAGTGAGTTTATAGTTCAAATTGTAGTTATGTACATTCTTCATGGTATTTATTAATGATTTATTGCAAGTAATTTGGTTCAGCTTGACCCTATCTAAATGTCAGTCAGGACAAAGAGCTCAGGAGTCTCTTAAGCAGATCAACACGTGTCTCTGCCTGTCCTGTCTTTGTGTGGCACCATGGTGATGTTTGTAAAACAGTTGTACCAATTAATACTTACTGGGCCCAGTTTCCTTCTACATCTCTTTTGCATCAAGAGTATTCTCATGAAATAAGTTCCTTCAGCCCCTGTAAACCCATCCACAACTGCTTTGGCTCAAAATATGCTGTCCTATAACCAGCCTCATAATGCCCTATGCTGCTATCACACATTTATTCATGCACATTTTCTACAACCTTTTTTCTCATGCTCCATCTGATAATTATCTCTAAAAGTGCCAGATGGTTGACTGGCATCATCTCCAGATTTGCTGCCTAAAACACACAGCAATAGCAACTGCTGGGAACTTTGTGCACAGATTTGTTTTTGGAAACCTGAAACCTGCATGTCACTGCTTATTTATTTATTTTTTTCCTTTTGAAGGTAGCAAACTAGATATGCCAGAGCGTGTCAGTCAATCATGCATCCGAGTTGTTCACTTCACAAGATACACATGCATTTTACTCACACTTGCAGTCATCTTACAAGGATGTGCTGTGACTTCCCATCGCCTTTGGACTTGGAATATCTCTACATCTTCCTCCAGTCTTTAGACCAAAGCGACATCTCTGCTTCCCTGACTAAGCCTCCCCTTCCCCCCAGCGTAGACACACACACATATCTATATATCCAATTCCTCAGCTCTTTTGACCAGGCACATCATATCAGAGAACTCTTCGGAAATGGAGAACTGGTCTACGCTTATCGATCAGGGCCCAGGGGCAGATAGACTGTAATTTGAGGCTGATATACTAGCTCTGGTCTATAGATGTGTTATGTCCATAGAAGGATAAGTTCTATTTAGACAACACTAGAGGTCATAAGAAGGATTTAAAGACAGCACACAGTCTACGTGTCTTACCTACAATTAGGGGTGACAGTTAGAGGTGATAAATGAAAAATAAAATAAAAAAATCATATAACAATTTTCTATAGAAAGATTACGGTTGGGATCAGTAGGTATCTTTATATAGCTTATTAAGACATAACGTATCTACTGCTAAATCTGCTTTTGAGAGTTAACACTTCACTGTGATTTGGTAAATCCAGGGTGGTGGGGAAAAACTGTGTTTGGGCATAATGCTGCATGAAACAGAAACAAAATGATAATATCAAAAAGTAGCAGGTATCAGATCACATTAACATTTTTAGTGCCATATCACCTCACATTACCTACAATGCTTTATTGCAAAGTAGTAAAAATATTTTTTTAGTTCTGTTTTTCAGATTTTTTTGGTTACCTTGTATTTTAAAACACAAGAAGACTGATGCCTCCATACAATGCATGTTTGTTGAAACAGTGACAATGCTCGACCTGCATAAAAATTCCTGATAACAAAATACATAATAAATGTGTTCTTCCTGAAGTAACTTAATAAAGTATTTAATTTATTTAATACTGTTTATTGCCATTTTTAATCATTATGCAAAATAACCAGTATTACTTTTAAATGTTTGTTGCAAGAGTGATTCATAATGCATAGTACAGGTTGTTTTTAGGCTCTGAGGGGAGCATTTTAGACCATGAGGTGGCCACCATAGTCTTCACTGGGAAACAATAGCTTGTGCAATCAGTAACTAATTATCAAACAAAACAATTGATTTCTAATGTATTCTCTCATCCTTCGTTTGCAGCTATAGTTCTTAATTTTTACCTTATCTTATTTCCTGTTACAATACACCCTCCCCATACATAGTTTAAAGTGAACAGCATGTACACTGCTTGAGGATGACAGGTGTCCATTTGAATGTGCGCAAGAGGAGAAGAGGAGCAAAGGAACACATGCAGTAAACGTGGGAGTGTTGTGTGTGTGTGTGCTGCTCAGAGCCTGAACGACAGCAAAAAGAAAGAAAGAAAGGCGCATGTAAGAAGCAGGCCAAGTAAAAAGCAGGCCAAAGTGCATTATGTAAGTGAGGCATAACCATGAGTGTGTGTGTGCATGTGTGTATTTTGTGTCTGCCATACAAATTAATCCTGGCTTTATCCTCAGTGAATGGGACAGTGGAGCTTTGCGGTGATTATCCTGCAGGCTTCAGATGATTGCTTTGAATCCCATGCTTGTCCACCTCAAAATTGTCTTATTGTTTTGTCAAAATAGTTCATTTTGACTGCTGTTTGCAATGCATTCATAATGCATTAAGCGTCTGATGTGTTCATCTGATTTGCCAGCGTGTCCTCCTGTCCTGTCTTCAACCCCCCCACCACCTCTCTGGGATTATATAACGCAGAAATGTCAGAATAGTAATCTGCTCCATCATTTCTTCTCAGATGGGATGTGAAAACAAAAATGGTCGACTACCAGGAACTATTTGTTTTGGTGTGAGTTGCAGTGGAAAGGTGTTAAAATTCTAGCGGAGCATCCTGATTGGTGCTCGCCAGGTGGCCAGAGGTGTGAACCGGACTTGTTCTGTTAGTTCTTGAGTGTCTTTGCATACTGCTTCTTCAGGGAATTAAAATGTTTGGTCAAGTGAAACAGAATACATCAATGTTTTTTTTCTTTGTCATCTTTGTGTAATATTTTTCTTGTTATTTTCCGCAGCAGATTTCTCCCCGCGTGTCCGTCCTGTCTCTCCGTAGGGAATGTTTTAATTCAGTAAGGCCATATTGTCACGGCAGGCAGAACTGTGGGCCAAAAACAGCACAGTGTGAGCCTTGTTGCTCCATTCACACTTGCTTAACAAGAATGAACCTTGATAAACAAGACATGACATACAAACCCAACAAGCAGGCTGACACATGAATATTACTATCACAGTTACAAGGGACGCTCCTGCTTGTTACCATGGAAATGTGATCGCTTTGCCTGGAATGTTCCACAGTATGTCACATCTGTCATCACCATGGAGACAAGCAGGTGACACAGCCAGGCCAAGTTTTTAAAAAAAAATGTTTAATGCTATAATGAGGAACATTCTAGGCAAAGTGATTACATATTCATAATACAAATTACATAGTGCACCTGTCAGGTAGAAGGTAATAGTTACCTTTAGTTATAGTATGAAGTTTTATTCCTGTAATTTATAATAATATATATGTTATGTATTTATTTTATTGTAGGCCATTATTGTCTTATAATTCTTTCAATAGTCCAATTATAAGGAAGAGTCATAGGTATACTATTTGAAAGCAACGATAGACAATGTCTGACATTCTTGGCATATTATAATTAACTGATGCCAGGCTGGACTGTACAGTGCAATAAAATTCTGTTACAACTTCTTTTATTAATTACTAACTTAATAACTACACCAACTGACTCTGGTGGTGTACATTCATTATATTAGGACCATTGCAGACAACTGTGTTCTGAGTTGCATTCCTGTGTAGTGCAGCCAGGCGAAAGGCAGTGCTGTCTGAATGGTTTAGCCCTCCAGCTCACATCAGGCTTTGTAGGTTGGCACATCTTGCTGGAATAATGCATGTAGGTCAACATGGAGCTACTGTACTGCATGTACCTGTGCATAGCAGTGTGAAAGTTGCACTTAATATGAACATTTATCAGCTCGAAATGAAATAGCATTACTGTCTGAAAAAATTGGGTTGTTTTTTGGAGCCGATTAATTTGTTCTGCAGTTTGCACACTGGCAGCACCTATTGTTCAAAGGTCACTACCTTCAAGTGTGGCATGCCTGTTCAATTTACCATCATCTATACCACTGTTTAAAGCTGGGAAATGGGTTTTGTTCCCAAAGCTCGATGAATAAATACAGGTTGACTTTGCTGGAGAAAGACTGACAGAAATAGTGATTCCATTTAAGCCAAAACAGCATGTAAGTTTCTTCTGTAATACTTCCAGGTTTGAAGATAATGCGTTTGTGTCACTCCATTAAACGTGATATGATAGACCTCCAAGTAACAGTATCAACCAAAAGAAAAGCAGTAGAAAATATCTTCCACAGCACATGGCCTGATACCTGATCCCTGTCTGCAGTGATACATGGAGCATCAGCATGTTCCTGAGAGTCCTTATTATATATGACAGCTTCTGTGCATTGCCCCCTCCGCTGCATCAACGTGACCCAGCAATAATTATAGGCTTGTGTTGTCTTTATAGCACTGTATAATTACACCAGCGTAGACAACAGGTCTCCACCCACACTGAAAAAAAAAAAAAAAAAAAATATATATATATATATATATATATATATATATATATATATACAAATATAGTGATTAAATATATCATTCTTTCTAAGTTATTCAAAATGATTTGAA